CACCAAAAAATATTTCATTTTCAGAGTCTTTATTCACTTTGCCGATCGTTTCACTAATATCTTCATCCCGTCTATTCTCTAACTAAATAACTCCATGGGGTTGACTCCTTGAAAAGTCGCCAGTCGCTCAGTTACTCAAGAATTTCCCAACATTTTACGGAACTCGAAGATTCATTACTGCACTCCACCGACCACAGTCCTCAGACATATCAATCCAGTCTATTCCACGTCGTCCATAAAGGCTCTTGGGCGTACCCAGCCTCCTATCCAATGGGTACTGGGAGCTCTTTACCAAAAGGTAAAGCGGCCGGAGTGTGAAGCTGACCACTGGCCTCCAATTAGTGCCCGGTCAAGAAAATGTGGATCTATACATCCACTCCCACTTACGCCTTCATGGCGCAGTGCTTAATCAGTTAAGCACAGGGACGAGTGGACCTAGGCCTACCTCCATGAACTTCTCCGACCTTCTTTTTACTCAATATTAAAAGGGAAAATTAATATGAAAGTAAAGAATGATATGTGATATGAACCCAAGACCTCTAGCAGGTATGCTGTAGATGGAAATGATAATGCCACAGCCTTCACGCCCAGCCAATACTGTCAACTGAAATCAATCTGGCACGGTCTGCATACCTCGCTAAATGTCAACAGAAAGTGTTGTGTTAAGTCAGGTCATGGTTCTGGCGTTCTTTGTTCCATAAGAAACACTGAAAACACATGTGAACACGACACGACAGGTTACTAAAGCTTTGCAATAAATAGTAGTTATATTATTAAAGGATAACTAAGCATTTTACATGAAGATGTCAGTCTTAACTTTTGTGCTTATCTCATGATACAGATGTAAGTAAAAGTAAAAGTAAAGGTATCCCTGTAACAGGCTGTGGAGGCCCATAGGGTTTTGAAACGTCGAGGATCCCACATTTTCTAGACAACCGGCTCATAGATGGCGGTGAGGTTGTCAGCCTTAAGCGCCGGCCATCCTTTACACCCAAGAATATTCCAAGAATATTCCTAGTACTAATTTCTGTTAGAGGCTCAGTCGACCCCAGAGCCATAGTGCGGTTGGAAGGATTAGGTCAATTGAAAAAAAATACAATTACCTCATCGGGACTTGAACCCGCGACCTTCCGGCTTGTAGCATAGTGCCTCAATCAACTACGCTACCGCGTGCCCACATGATACAGATGTCCATTTAAAATAAGAGACACGAATTGTTTAATTAGAAGAACATGACTATTCTTCGACCATGAGACACTGAAAACAACAGATTATAAAATTCGACATGAGACTGTTGAATGCTGAATGCGACAGGATATGCTCGTCGAAGAACCGATCAAAAACTAAACTGCACTGTAAAAGAACTGGGCAGACAAATTTGATACAACCTACGGATGCACTTCAACAGAAACCCACTCGCTGGATGGTCTGTGAGGGAACTGCATATCGGTATCAGAGCAGAATAAATCCTGCTGTAACTTTATTTGCAGGAAACCCATTCAATATCAAACAAAATGGTCACACGTCTCGGAAATTAAAACCCTTATGAAACACATTAAATCTTAATGTAATATATTCTGAGAGATAATGCGTGTCTTAATTAAATTGTGTCAGGATGTTGGCTGGATTCAACTGGCTCAGGATGGGGTTCACTAGCGGACACTTGTGAACGTGGTAATAAATATTCGAGGCATTTCTTCATCAGCTGAGTGACTATCATCGTGTCAAAGACATTCTCTTCCATGGAGCGGGTAATTCAAATTGTGTTACTTTTTTTATAATTTAGTAGTATTTTGTCCGAAGCATTTGCATGCAGAAGGACAACTTTATCTCAAGTAGTGAGTGCAACACAACTCTTGAGACGTTGAAACGCGGTAGAGACATGCCCAGATCAAATTGTGGGCGTTGTTGCGCAATATGCAGAAGCCTTGAGGATTAACATTTATCAGGCTCGATTACACTGCTGTTGCGTTACAAGCTCGTTAACACGCAAATGTGAAAAATGACGTTTTATGACCATTGTGAGCTATCCCATAAGATATCTTCAGTTAAAGTTAACTGAGATGAAATTCAATGCGAAACTTGCTACCAACGCGAGTTATGATTTCAACATCCCAGCGACTTACCGAAACGCGTTAGGTTTGCTTATTCACATAGGAATGGGGTGATTAGCCTTTCCATGCCTTTGAGGCAGTCGAGTAGAAGCAAAGCTGTCTTTATGCTTAATTACGCACCACGGCATAAGTACATATGGTGGACTGCAGTTACAGCTCCGGGAATTCTAAACTTCTGCACTGGATGAAAGTGAGTTGTCAGTTTCATTCCCCTGACGCTTTTAACCCGGGGAAGGATACTCGTGGACCCTCTGGATAAAACGATAGATGGGCCGCAAAACCAATCTGAACCCCGTGGAGGAGGATAGAATCGAGACCCGGTTCTTCAGCCGTCCAGTATATCAACATGGTTACCTCGGCACCACTAAAACAGGCTGTCAAAAAGGAACAGGAATTAGGAAGACACTTTGAATACGATACACGTAGGGCCTAAGTTTTTCATCAACGCCTTCTCTTATGTCTGTCTGTTTAGCTTCGCTATTAATGCGCTATGTAGCTGTAACCGACAATTTACAATTTCAGGATGGATGATCATGGAACTGAAGGTCGATCTATGTCCAAAAATTGAAACTGTGATGTGAAATTAAAAATAAATTTTGAACGTACTCAACTTCTGAAAATTAAATTCAGCAGGCTTGTGAAGTACAATCGTGGCAATCCGCATGTTTGTTGGCGTTCTCAGACCTGAACACCGACGTCGTTTTGGAAATAACAGTGAAGTAATGAGCGACAGCAGTCAATTTTTTTTAACATTTGACATGACAATATGGAACGGTAATTAACGATTTTTTTAGCTTCTTTGTTTTTTTCCGTCCGATAAGAAAAGTAAATGAATTCCCTAAGCAGTAGCGGATATCAACAGCAGTCAATGTTACCTCTATGCTGCGCGCGCACACGGACTCCCGCGCACTTTTGTAGGTTCGGTATATAGTAAATTTTAATTAATAAAAAAAAACTAAACTACAATTTGTTTTTATTTTTGGTAACTTATAAATTTAATGTCCATTAAAGGTGTTCCCCCCCCCCATTGTTTACCCAAGCCAATCGAATTGTTGCTCAGAAGACGCCAAGGCTTGCGCTCTTGCATCCCCGCCCGAGAGGGAGCGTTGGTAGCAGTACTTCTATCTGTTGGTTATTTAACGACGCTGATAGTATCGGGACTATATAGCGTCGATAATAAGATGATTAACGAATGTGGAGGAGCCGGTGAGAGGAGAACTGGCAAGGAAAATCGAAGTATTCGGAGAAAACCCGCTCCAGTGCAACTTTATCCACCATAAATCCCACACGACTTGACCTTGGACAGAACTAGGTCCACCACAGTACCAGTATTCCCAGTAATGAATGATGTATTACAACGACAGCCGACAGAGATGGATCTAGTTTCAAATCGCTATGACTGCCATTTCTGCGGCATCTTAACCATTACTGTATTCATTCTCCAATTTTTTTTTTCCTGTGGCGCTACAGCCCCAATTTGGGCCTAGGCCTACCTCCATGAAACTCTCCGTTTCACTTCGGTTTACTAGAACTTACACATTCGGTAGGACTCCTTGGGCGGGTGATCAGCTCGTCGCAAGGCCTCTACCTGTACACAAACACAGAAAAACGCACACAAACATCCATGCCCTGAGTGGGATTCGAACCCACGATCCCGGCTTCCGAGCGAGCGAAGACAGTGCATGCCTTAGACCGCTCGGCTACCGTGACCGGCATTCATCCCCAATACCGATAGCTAATATGGCGGCTGGTGTTACATTTGTATCAAGTAGGCCAAACTGTACGAGGGTTTTCAGAGACCACCAAGATGTAAACAACAAAAACGTCTTAAACGTCTTCCCTGTCCTCAATTCCACATTTTTAAGGGTTATTTCAAGTGGATAGAATGACTAGTGTCGAATAAGCGGAGGACCTAAAGTATATACTCGTACCCACATGCATTGAGATAATTTCATATTAACTGTACAATCTACGCACAATAAGCAAACGGGTTGCATAAAAACATCGATGCACCACATCTCAGTTAAAGTAAAAGTAAAAAGTAAAGCTACCCCTGTAACAGGCCGTGAAGGCCCATAGGGTTGTGAGACGTTGAGGGTCCCACATTATCTAGACAATCGGCTCAAAGATGGCGATAAGGTTGTCAGCCTTACGAACCAGCCACGCTTTACTTCCCAGGAAAATTATTTAATTCCTGGTACTCATTTCTGTTAGATTCTGAGTCGACCCCAGGGTCTAGTGCGGCTGGAAGGAGTAGGTCAACTGAAAAAATCCAGTGACCTCATCGGGACGTGAGCCCGCGACCTTCCGGCTTGTAGCTAGTGCCTCAACCAACTACGCTACCTCGTGCCCCCACATATCTATATGTTCTTACAGTAACTAATTAACATGAAGGTTTCCGTAACCAAGAGTCGTCATTAGGCAGGAATATGAGTAACTTTCCCTCATCCCGGCCTATATTCACAGGGTGAATTTGAACTATGTCTTAACATTTCTGTGGATAGTACAAGTTTTATTTAATTTTTATACTACAAGGCCCCTTCATAATGTCCGAAACCCTTATCAATTTCAATATCAAAAACTCGTCTTCCTGGTTTCAAAACTGACAGCCCCAGCAACATCCCTTATTCATTTCTCGTTTTCCTTTCCCTTCCCACATGGCCAGCTTGTCTCAACTTTGTTCCAAGACCCCCAGTAAAAAACTGAGAATTTCCAAAATGATGTTAATATTAAAGACGGTAACAAAGCGCTGTTATGTGAACTTAACTCAAAAGAGTTGGTGTCCATGCAACCTCATAATACAAAAATCTCTGTCCATTATGAACATTACACGTAAACTGGTGATCCAACAGATCTTAGTACAACAGCAAAGAAATATTAACTTACCACTACTGGCTGGGGATCGCATAGGTTTGGAGGCGGAGTAGCGTTCAATACTGCGAGCTGTGAAATGTTTCCGGGAGGTCAGGCTCCTTTCAAAATGGCCTGCAGAAGAAACGAGTGAACATTATAGTAAGAGAGTCCAAATACGTCTTGGTTTTACTCATGGTCAGATTATACAGCGTCAAATAAAAATGATCAGCTAATAACGAGCCGGAAATAATGTACAAGGAACTGTTCGTGGTCTAACTGCAGACATGCATATTATCCTAGCATTCACCTCGATGTACTGAGGAAACACACGAAAATCCTCTGCCAGGACAGCCAGTATCCAGGTTAGGATTTGGACCCTGGAATACCAAGTGAGGTGTCATATCTATAAAATATACAGAACTATTATTTTACCTGAGGTCCCAGATTCGATTCCCGGCGCTACCAGATTTTTTTTCTGAGAAGTAGTAGGTCTGGAACGGTGTCCAGTCAGCCACGTGAGGATAATTGAGGAGTTATTTCAAGGAAATAGCGACTCCGGTCTAGAAAACCGAGATTACACGCCGTAGGGATCCGTTGCGCTGATAACGCGACACCCTCTATCCGCTAAAGTTGGTACTAACTTCCGTCAACAGGCGGTGGTCCCTCGGTCGGTATAGTTCGCTTGCGGACTAAAGCCCTTACCTGTTGCTTGCATGGGTGTGACACTTGGGATCTGTCACTCTGAGCCATTAACATGGATTACGAGGGTCTGGGAACAGAATACTGGGGCTATATGGAGCAGTTACACGAGAATGTAGAAAACTACATGATCAGGATTACCGCAATTCGTGCTCTTCAAATAAAACGACGGGACAGATCAGGTTGATGAAACGGTAACGTTCTAGACTCATATTCGGGAGGCGTTCGGTTCGAATCTCGAGCGGGGTATCGGTTATCCTCACTGACGTTCTTCATGGCCCTCCTTGGTCCCCCAAAGCAAATGCCAGGATAGTAACTCGATAAGACTACGGCCGCTTCCAAATCATTTCCAATTCGCCACTCGCCTGCAATCCCACCATTCTACGCCACACAGTCCAGCAACTGTCAGCGTCTCTATGTAAGACGCAAAAGGAATTAATAGCGCGGCTAATTGGCTGAGACAGCATGGCTGGCATGTAGAGCTCTGCTCAGCGAGTTTGCTTACCTGACTAAATACTAAACCCTGCTGCAGGTACAGTGTTATACAATTTTGAAAACTGAGAAGGTTAGCTCAAGCGACCACGTGACTGACTTGTATTCTCACATGTCTTCTTCGGTTATTGGGGCACGCGGTAAAGTAGTTGATTGAGGCACTATGGTACAAGCCGGAAGGTCGCGGGATCGAATCAGGATGAGATGGATTTTTTTTCAATTTACCTAATCCTTCAATCCGCACTATGGCCCTGGGGTCGACTCAGCCTCTAACAGAAATGAGTACCAGGAATATTCTTTGGGGTAAAGGGCGGCCGGCGTGTAAGGCTGACAATCTTACCGCCATCTATGAGCCGATTGTCTAGAAAATATGGGAACCTCAACATTTCACAACCCTATGGGCCTCCACGGCCTGTTACAGGGATAGCTTTACTTTTTTTTACTTCTTCAGTTTTCACTGTTGAATTCCTTTGACCTGACATGAATCAGAATAGCGAAAATATGGCTTCATTGGACATTTTGCAGAAATTCTTTTTCATCAGTTCTAAAGGGTTCTGACAATGGTGTGTCACATCCAGGATTCTGGACTTTGTCATCATTTTATGTCCTAAAACAATGCTAGACGATGGACAGAGTCCAGATACTCAGAAATCCCGAGTCGCCTTTCATATACAAGAGCAGGATGAGACAGCGCCTTGCTACAGTCGTCTCCAACTTGCCCCTACTGCACCACCCCTCTGGCTGATATACGAGTACGGAGCATTAATGGAATGGCAGTTGGTGAGGGGAGGGGCGTACCGAAGTTCTAGGAGAAAGATCTGCACAGTGTCAATTTGTGCTCAAACCTCATATGGACTAACCAGGGACTGAACCTGGGGCTCCATACTGGACAAATACAAGCTCAATGAGTTGTATCTCTCTAACATCAAAACGCGTAACAAACGTGGGTTATACCAATTCCCCGAAATGGATTTAAACCGGCGGTCCCAGTGTTCGAGCCATCAAAGTTAGCACTCGCCTCGGACATCGTAATCACTGTGACTTTCGTACATTTCTGGGATCAGTAATTCTAATCATAATCATCATAAGTAATCATAAACGAACGCGCCAACTGGGAAGTCAGTTTACAATAAATGTCTTTTGATTCCAAATGCTTATATTCAGTGCAGATGGAGGCTGATACAATAAGCTATTGCTACCGAACTGGATGCGCTGGTATGGCTCTGATAGGATCACAAACACATGCGGGTGTGGTCACTGCGCCTGTGCAACCATTCACACCCACAAACCTCACGTGCTCAAGACATGGTCCCACTTTCCTAACGCTATCTCAAGCTTCTTTGTTTGGGCATGACGACAGCTTACAACGTGACACTAATTATATTTATCTTTCGAATAACATTAATGTTAAGTTAAATCAACTCCCTGTTACACAGGCAAATCTTAGCAGTGCTCAGCCGAACAAGGATTCAAAACAAAGTTACGTAACTAGCTCCAGGGGGCAGAGAACTTGAGAAGTCGTTCAGCTAGTCGGAAAAGTATTGCCATGTTTGCAAAAGCCCGTAGCTGCGCTCTGTCCTGAACAAAATGTCTACGCTTTATTTCTTTACGATATAGTTTAATGTCATCCTGCAATCCGCGCTTCAGGTTTCCAAATGGTTTCTTCTCTCGACGTCGTCAGACCACAAATATATGCGTGTCTCATCTGACCCCTTCCATGCAGGCTACGTGGCCACTCTCTTCCGATTTTATCGTCCTAATAATTTACGATGTAGCGACGGGCTACTGACTGGACCAGCGGGGTTCAATTCCCGGAAGAGGCAAGAGATTTCTCTCTACTCCACAGCGTCCGCTCAGCCTCCTATGCAATGGGAACCGAGGGGTTTTCCCCAGAGGTTTGGCGGAAGGGGCATGAAGCTGACCACCGCCTCCATTTAGTGCCTCTACTCCCCCATACGTCTTCATGGCGCAGTTCTTAATTAATTAAGCACAGGAACAACTTTACCTTTAGTACAGCTTCTGGTGGCCCTCCTACAATTTCAAAACGTATGTACACTTCACCAAGGAATCAGTAAGGACACAAATACCAAACAATTTCATGTTATGGCTAGCATTTTGCTTCGTCTTCGAGAGGTCGCACGTGTTAGACTCTGTGACCATATTATGACAACTTTATTTTAGTTTTACTCAGTACCTCAACGCTGGCACTCTAATGATACATGCAAGTAGTCCATTGTCTCTGGGTTACATATTCTAATCAGTTCAAACTTACCCCCCGAGTTCCTATTTGATTCTATAAGTTGACAAAATATTGGCAAAGAGATCATAAGATGAGCATTCATAAGACAGCTGTACTGACCAGTCATAATCATCGTTCAAGTAAGAAACAAAGATCAAAACCTTCAAGTCTCTGTGCCTAAAATCTTACCTCGTTTTACGTAGTGTAGCATATCTACGTGTATATGGTTTGTAAAGAGGGGCTGGTGTAACAGCAAGCCTCTAATACTTCTTTCTGTTCAGTTCGTATCTCATAACAATATTCCTCTCTATAACATTATTTTTCCGTCACAACACAACAACTAAGGGGTATCAAGGTCAATACCCAGCTATGCCTCACTATATGTTTCGGCCGTTATCGGCCATCATCAGGTGAATACAAATCAACAAACATATACTATTGAACTGTAGTAAAATTAGATACAATGACAAAATAGTTAACTCTTTTGTGTAAAAAATACAACGGTCATTTATATATAAATATATAATATAATTATACGTTCCGTGGACAAAATAAAAATATAAGATGGTATTGGAGGCCCATGACGTTGCAAGTTAATTAATCTGAGAATATATAAAAAAGGAATAGTATTGAATACGTTATTTGAATATTTAAACTGAAGCTGTAATATAATATATGTACTTACAGAGTAGATGTGCCTCAGCATATGAAAGAAAATGTCCGTACTATATGAGGAGTAAACAACGACTGTTTTGTTGATGTAAAATTAAAGTCGACTTAAGGGAAGGAAGGGGGGTAAGGTATATGGGAAGTGAAAGAAAAGAGAGGGGGGGAGAGTAACAGTATGTTATGTTTTGGAAGTATTGATTATAACATCGTATATGGGGTTGAACATTTCAGTAAAATTGTCATTCAGTTGTAAATTTTGTTTAGTGATTTCATAAATATGAAATCTTTCGTATGTATCTAAAGTTCGGCCTTTCTTGCCGATATATAAAACTTCCAATGTTATAAAACATCAATTTTTTCTTCTTTTATATTATAACCTTCAATTTTATATGTAAATGACCGTTGTATTTTTTACACAAAAGAATAAACTATTTAGTCATTGTATCTAATTTTACTGTAGTTCAATAGTATATATTTGTTGATTTGTACTCACCTGATGAGGGCCGTTAACGGCCGAAACATGTAGTGAGGCATAGCTGGGTATTGACCTTGATACTCCTTAGTTGTTGTGTTGTGACAAAAAATAAAGTAATATATTGTAACACAACAGGATGCATGAAGTGAAGAATATTCCTCTCATTGCAGACTATTCTGGCTAAGTCTCTCGTTGCTTCCCCCAGCCTCTGTAAGTGAATACATGTACATACCTAAAAACAGACAACTACACCCTTCAAAAACCTCTTCTATTCACCAACTGTGGCCACGTTCCCGTCCCTTTCGATTCTGCATAACCTTTGTATGTGAAACAAACAAAAGAACAGACTCCTTGACCTGTAGTCCGCAAGCGAACTATACCGACCGAGCGACTGCCGCTTGTCGACGAAGTTAGTGCCAACTTTAGCGGATAGATGGTGTCACGTGGTCAGCGCAACGGAACCCAACGGGCGTTAATCTCGGTTTTCTAGACCGGAGACGCTATTTCCTTGAACTAGCTCCTCAATTATTCTCACGAGGCAGAGCGGACCCCGTTCTTGATCCATTACTTCTCAGAAAATTTGGTAGCGTCGGGAATCGAACCCAGGACTTCTGGATCTGTAGCCAGGGACTCTGACCACTAGACCACAGAGGCAGTCTTTGTATGTGAAATAGTATCGTTAAATGATCTGGGAATCCGTCATTCAATCTATAGCTCTTACACAAATACAGCTCTTATTATTTATCTAAAACATCTCTGAGAGTGCATCGTACCTTAAATAGACAAGTGTTATAAACATGACGTATCTACGTCAATACCTGGTGATGTCGCAACCGTAGAGATGTTTTAGAGAACATATTCACACCAGCAGAGTTTTCCTTGAACATAATCACAAACACGATGGGCCTATCATGCATTAATTTTACCGTAGTAATGTTTTATGGCTTAGGAATTACATGCAGACTTGTTTTCAGGTTGGTTGTTGCGCCAAGAAGAGCAACCTACACTTCATTTCATGAGCTACGAGAACCTTCAGGTGGAGTCAAAGCAACGGAGGCTGATTCGAGTCTGAGAACAGAGTGCACGAGGAAATTTGTCGAATATACTTCATTTGTAGCTTAACGTAATATTGATTAATATGGCTATGAATCCGTCGGTCTATCGTTACAAATTTTACGGATACACTCCAGACAAACTCTTAGTAAGAGGGCCATCTGTTGTGCAGATTTAATGCAGCAATAAACTTGTAGGCCACCCAGCTCCGTTCTGGCTAGACGGCAGATACGGCGCTGTCAAGCGGAAAGTCAAGGCTTTAAGGCGAAGCAAAAACACTGTCACATCCACTTATGACGCAACAGTGCATCAATTGCTGGATAAGCAACGCTGTTAAAGTAAGAATATTAGGTTTCACAGACGTGATCTGATCGGCCTAGCTTCAGCAGGTGACTGGCCGTGGTTGCTTCGTTTGAGCCCCTGCGCCCAAGAAAATCAGAAGTATGCAAAATTGTATGTGTTTGAGAAGGAACGTACAGACGGAGGAATGACGGGTGAGAAGGCGGATGGATGGAAGCACACACAGAGGAAGGACAAGTGAAATAGCGGATGAATGGAAGCACAGACAGAGGAAGGACAAGTGAAACAGCAGATGGATGGAAGCACAGACAGGGGAAGGACAAGTGAAATAGCGGATGAATAGAAGCACACACAGAGGAAGGACGGGTGAGAAGGCGGATGGATGGAAGCACACACAGAGGAAGGACAAGTGAAATAGCGGATGAATGGAAGCACAGACAGAGGAAAGACGAGTGAAATAGCGGATGGATGGAAGCAGAGACAGAGGAAGGACGAGTGAAATAGCGGATGGACGTACAGACGGAGGTGAGATGGGTGAAAAGACGGTAGGACGGACGTAAAGGCTGGGGAAGGGTGGGCGAAAAGGCAAATGGACGGGCCTACGGACAGAGGAAGGATGGGTGAAAAGACGGTTGGATGAACGTATGGGCCTACAACCTCCTACAAGCATTTCTCTTTATATTTAAAAGTTAAAAATATTACACGTATTTAATGGCGTTATTTCAGCTGCAGATGTCTTAAATGTTACCTCCAACGCACGGAGTGCCGTTTAGTATTCAATTAATTTTACGTTGTTCCTTGAGTTATGTCCAGGCAGGAGTATTGGCAGTTCTTATTACTTTGGTTACATGCCACCTGGGTCGTTCTTAACAACGAAATAATTTCCAAAGCCACGTTATACTTACAAATATTTGTGCTTCAAACTATACATTTCTGACTGTCTTACTGATTCTCGTCTTGACAGGCAACAACCATTTAATTTCTGGAGACAGCAACTCCGTGAATCGTCCTCAAGATTTTTGAGCCAATAGAAATTGAAAAACATACAACTCCTATTTGAGCATTTTCCTTCAGGAAAATGTTAACTATCAACTTCCCCCAACACCTTGGATTGTGAAAATAACAAGGCCGTGCCATGATGTATAGTTTAAAGGGAAGTGAAAATAAGCACAAAGTTTACATGGAGCTAGTCTAGCTAGCTCCATGTGTCTAGCTTCTGTGCTTTGTAGTGGGTAATAATACCGTGAAATCCTGACTGATGACTAACTTATGAACTATTCGCCATAGAAATTAATTTCCAGACAAGAATTATGAATCTCGTGACGTAAATTACAAGCCATCGCCAGAATTTATACCCAGTTGCAAACCGTGTATCTCATCTTTATCTTCACTACCATGGTATCACTGAATGGGAGACGACTGGCAAATGTCCTATCCTCTAGGCGCTCCAAATTAAAATGTGAATTTATATTTTCCACTCTTACCAATCAGACAGATAGGTCAGGTGATCAAAACCAGTATGTATCAACTGCTACAAATTGTAATAACTTCGCAATTTGCTCAAAGGGTGTACTTATGGGGGTTGGTTCTCAGAATAAACAACTGTTATTAAACGCAGGTAGGAAGATAATAAAAATTGGATCTTAAATAACTAAGATGGGGCCGTACAGACTGAACTGGTCTGGCTCAGAATAGGGACAAGTTTAAAGTTCTTGCGGACACGGCAACGAACATTCGGGCTCCATAAAACGTTTGGAAATTCTTAAGTAACTGAGCAACTGGTGGCTTCTCAAGAAGGGCTCAATTCCATTTAATTATTTTCTTAAAATTGTTGATGTTTATATGAGTAATTGATTGTGTGTTCATGTGGTAAGAACCGGTGAGTGCTTTCGTGGGAATAACGCGTAATCGTTGGGGTTCTTTCCCAACTGTGCAATTCACCGGAAATTCATAAAATCAAAATTCTATCGGACCTTGCCTCAAACCACCACTTCTAACTATTTTAAAGTCTTCACTTGCATACTGTTCTTACAAAAAGGACTAACGGCAAAGTATGGGAACCTAAAACAATGATGTTCTCCCCCCCCCCCTCCATAAAATAAAGTGTTCTCCCATGACCTTCCTTTCCGTCTGCTCTTCCATAATTCTTCCTTACCTCCCTCTAATCGTCCGCCAACTCCAAAAGGCACACAATCCATGGACATGTCAACGTTTACATGGCGTCGACAGCGTAAAGCGGTGCGCTCCAGAGTGTTTTGCACCGAAGTTCACACCAGCTAACTTAAGCATAATTTGCACCAGAAATGCTTCTCGTAATGAATCACATCCACCAAAACCACAGTCTTCCGACTGTTCGGATAAGCAGTGTGCTTTCCACGAATCTTCAAAAACACAGCGCTCATGCGGCTCTCTGATCCATCCGGAGCTTAAACTTCCTGTGAAGGTCAACGAACTAAGATTCTAGGAACTTGCATTATTGAATATGAACGCAATATAATCCGTAGTACACCAACACAAGCAAACAGATCAGACAAAATGGATCCCGCAGCTTGCCCCATAATCTTCAGAATGTTCCCAACATACATCTGTAATATCCACTTTTGTAGGCATAAATTCGTACATTGGTACGCAGCTGTCCCAGGATCGACATTTACGGAATACATCAAACAAGTGACTTCAGTCATAAAGTAGGTGGGTATGGGATGGAGGGCTGGGGTTCCATTCCCGAAAATATTATGAATTCCACTTCGTCTCCGGAGCCAAACGAATTTTTTCTGCGGGTACCGGCACTTCTTGCCTAGGAGTGAAGCAGTCAGACCGTGAGGCTAAACATTCGTTTTTGTTTACAGTCATAGAATTCGTGAAGCTAGACCTCCAATGTCCTATAACGCACCATGTCATGGTGCTAAGGCTGCTACCAGCTTCTGTCTTCCTCCAGTAGTAAATTCTCGCTGAGGCTTCTTCTGGCTTCTGGCCTTTTTCTAGCAGTAAATTCCCGCTGAGGCTGCTTCCAGCTTCTGCTTTTGTAGCAGTAAATTCTCGCTGAGGCTTCTTCTGGCTTCTGGCCTTTTTCTAGCAGTAAATTCCCGCTGAGGCTGCTTCCAGCTTCTGCTTTTGTAGCAGTAAATTCTCGCTGAGGCTTCTTCTGGCTTCTGGCCTTTTTCTAGCAGTAAATTCCCGCTGAGGCTGCTTCCAGCTTCTGCTTTTGTAGCAGTAAATTCTCGCTGAGGCTTCTTCTG